GAACTAGGATGCCCCTAGGCAAACTCAATGTTTTGTTCCACTGAGCTGGGGTGGGGGCTGGTGTAGACGTGTGTATATACCTGGCATGAGACCAACCGCAAAGCGTTATCATCCAAGAGTTGCCATACCCAACACCCTCATTTCACAGATGAGAAAATGAAGCCAAGAAAGGACCAGGGATGTGCCAAAGGCCAGTGCTGGGCTACCTGTCCCCACTCCTCTCACGTGGCCTGAGACCAGGGACAAGGGGACCCAGAGACACACACATCTGCAGGCGCGACAGCAGGCTTCCATCTCGAGAGTGTGAAAATCACATCAGATGCACGGGGGGCGGGGTGTGCGTGGGGAGCCGCGAGCCCTGCGGCGTGACTGAGCAGGGATCCCTGGAAGCTGCAGAACTTACTTTCTGACCCCCACTCGGTGTGGAATTACTACCGGCCCACCCTGGGTCCCGTAAACCCTGGGAAAGGGGGGCTTGAAGCCTGCCCTGTCTTAGCTTCTCCCACCCCTGGCCCATAACCCCACACTCCAGACAGACCGATTGCCTCCCACAAAATACCTGGGACTCCACGGGGTGAAGGACCAAGAGAAAAATGGCCACTCCGTTCCTCTCCACACAGAGAATGAAGCCCCCAGGCCTGTCGGGGCTTCTTTCACCACGCGATGCCTGGCCGGGCACCGCCAGTGCATCTGGGATTCCATCAGACTCGGCCCGTGGGGCCAGGACCTCCACAGCCTCCCTCCTTTCTTCCCCGCCCCCCACCTGCTGCCTCCTGGCATCCTCAGACTCCTGAGCACCTCACACCCCCCCTCCTGGCAGCACTGGCTCTAATGCTCGGCTAATAGTTCTCTGTTTCAGGCGCTGTCCAAACGCATCCTATAAATCAGAATCCAATTACTGTGGTAAGAAAATTGGAAGCAAATTTAATAAGCCCAGACCCCTCCCACATGACGTTTCTTCACTCTTCTCTTTTCAGTAATGAGAGCTCTTTAAGGGAAAAAGCCTTTTTCTGTAACTCTGAGTCTGCTCTCCTGATTGCCCACAGGAGGCCCCTGAGGACAGAGGGTAAGAAGCGGGCAGGCGGACAGAGCGGTCAGTTGTCTTTTTTTTTTTTTTTTTTTTTGAGACAGAGTCTCGCTTTGTTGCCCAGGCTAGAGTGAGTGCCGTGGTGTCAGCCTAGCTCACAGCAACCTCAAACTCCTGGGCTCGAGCAATCCTTCTGCCTCAGCCTCCAAGTAGCTGGGACTACAGGCATGCGCCACCATGCCCGGCTAATTTTTTATATATATATCAGTTGGCCAATTAATTTCTTTGTATTTATAGTAGAGACGGGGTCTCACTCTTGCTCAGGCTGGTTTTGAACTCCTGACCTTGAGCAATCCACCCGCCTCAGCCTCCCAAGAGCTAGGATTACAGGCGTGAGCCACCGCGCCCGGCTTGGTCAGTTGTCTTTTTTATTCTCTCTTTTACTTATTCTCTTTTTACTTACTCAACAAACATTTATTGAATTCCTCCCATGCCAGGCACTGTCGTAGATGCTCAATGTGTCACTCACCCTAGAGGACAATTGATATCATGACCTTAGGGCCTTAGCTGCAAGGCACTATGGGAACACAAAGGTGGCCCAGTGGAGCAAAGCCTGTGTCCATAGGGTTGGGTCCCACAAAGGAACCAGGAGTCCCATGTGGGCCAATGCCCATGGAGTCAGGCATGGTCCCAAGTAGAGGCTTCTTGGTAGAGGTGACGCCGATTCCCGGGAGGATGGCAAGACATGGATGCTGAGGATGAAGGAACTGGAAGAAGGAGGAGGAACAAGAAGGAACCAGATAGGCCCAGTTCTCCACAGGGCCTGAGTCAGAAGTCATGTTACCTGGACAGAGGGAGAAGGCTTCAGCATGTGGGCAGGTAGGTGGCCTTATTCTCAGGCCTCTGCTCTCTACTCAAACCCTGAGCCATTTGGCTAGACTAACCCACCCGTGAACTTTATCTGTTCCACAAAAACCAGCCACAGGTGTCAGCTGATTCTCTGTGGTTTCCAAACTTGAGCAGGCATCAGAATTGCCAAGACACAGATGCTAGACTCCACCCCCAGAGTTTTTGATCCGGTAGTTCTGGGTAATGCCCAAGAATTTGCATTTCTAACAAGTTCCCAAGTGATGCCGCTGCTGCAGGTCTGTTGGCTTGAGGAATCAGACTTTGAGAACTACTGTTCTAAGCCCTAGGTACTCAAGGTGCAATCCCTGGACCAATGGCGTTAGTATCACCCTGGAGCTTGCCGGAAATGCAGAAGCCTGGGCCCCACCCCAGGCCTATTGAATCAGATTTTAACAAGATCCTCAGGTGATTTGCTTGTTTGCCTACTAAAGTGTGAGAGGCACTTACCTCGAGCAGTGGTTCTCAATGCTGGATGCTCACAAGAATCACGTGAAGACCTTAGAACAGAAATCCTGCAGCTGGATCCTGCAGTTGGAGTCTGAGTCTCAGCATTTTTCAAAGGTTCCCAAATGATTCTTGTAAGAAGTCTGGCTTGAGAACCATTAAGGTTCATGGCTGGCACCCTACTCACTCGAATTTCTCTGGCATTGAACCTGACCTTGAAACCCACCTCTGCTCTCCCCTGTCCCCACCACCATGCCTGACAACCTAGTGATCTTCATAACCAATGCCCCTTCCTGCTACTTGGGACACAGGTGCTTCCTCAGTTGGGGTTTGGCTGTGTCTCTTCCCTGAGCACCTGCAGCTTTCTGGCAGAGACCTCCCCGTCCACTCCAGGCCCTGCCATCCCCACATTCCCCGTAATAACAGCAACAAGTGACATTTTTAAAATATTTACTATGGAGTAGGTAAATACATATATTTTATTTGATCCCTATAAAAATGGAATTAGGATCATTATTATTTTTATCGCTGATTTTCAAAAGAGGAAACAGGTACAAAGCAGCTAGGCAACCTATCTGAGTTCACTCAGCTAGTCAACAGCAGACTGAGTGGATTGGAAACAGGGCGATCTGATCCTAGAGACCCTGTCCTTAACCCCTGATATGGTTGGTACTCTTTCCCTTTTTGTCTTCCCAAAGGGTATCTAAATTCTGCCTAAATCCTCTCTTCCCTTCTTGTTGCAATCTCAGCAGATCTCACTTTCTAAACAGATAGAAGGCACTGGGTCAGGTGCAAAGCCCGGAACTTAACCTGGTGAGCTGGGCTCCCAGGGAACGGGCTCAGTTCCCCGGCCAACAACACCACCACATGTGTCCGGCCCTCGTAAGACTTTGGTTCGTGCCTCTAGATCATAGAACAGGGTAAGTGCAGACATTGGTCGTGCTCAGCGTATCCCCAAGTGCCCTCCTGCCCAGGGAATCCCCTGGTGCCTCCTTCCTGCGGGTGGGAAGAGTCACAGGTATCTCTTGGGAGGCTCTCACCCAGATGCACTTTTCTGGCTGGGAGGTGTCCCTTTGCCCCTCTGGAGGGCCTCAGTATCTGGACTTAGAACAAGAGAGGGACCACTCGCCTGAGACCCAGAGGGGCTTCTCAGAGTCCTGTCTCGTCCCTCTTCCCCTCTGCTCAGGGAAATACAATATGCCAATATTTAAATAAAAATCTCTCAGATGCCAAGGAACAGGATAAGTGCTGGGGAATTTACATGGGAATAATAAAGACTCTGACTTTGAGATGCTTTCAGGCCAGCAGAAGAGAGTAGGTATAGCCCCAGCCCTTGGTCTCCAGGGGAAGGGGACTGCCAGGCACTGCTGCTAAGGAAGAGTCTCGTGGGTACCTCGAGGGCGGAGTTTAATCCTAAAGACTGCCAGGGGTAGAGGAAGCCCTACTGTCATCCAGGTCATTCCCCTTGCTGTACTCACGGGGAAACCAAGACTCCAGTTTCTTTTAGTGATGACAGTGATTAACAAGGACTGCTTGGGTTCCTCCACAGGATACATGCTGCATAAGACAAGGTTTCTGAGACCACCAGCCTCCACATAGTCCACATTTAGGAACCTCCAGAGTAATCAGCCTCATCAGCCAGGAAAATTCTCACTCCCCTGCTCATAAAACCCAGTCTCCACAATGAGGGTACCCATGCACCCAAAGGAACACACCCAAGCCTCTGGATTTAACATTGCCTTCAAACCCTCCACCCCCACCATGCCAGCCTGCTATTTGGGGCCAGCTGCAAAGTAAATTTCCTGCAACAGATAGGAAAAAACTACACAGGTGTTTGGCACCTCTGGGCCCCCAGCTTGGAGGCCAAGAGGGGAGGAGCTGAGGTTGAGACTGACCTGCTAAGTAGGTCTCCCCAGGAAGTGTAATGACTCTAGAAAGGGAGGTCAGGAAGCCAAATGTCTTCACAAAGCCTCTTTTTACAGGGAAATAACGCTTTCCACAGAGCAGCAGGCCTGATCTCAGAAAGCCGTTGTAGGTGTGGCTGGCAGGTCGGAGGCTGTGTGAACGCGCCCCTCCACAGGCAGGCAGTGGAACCAATGGCAGGTGGGGAGGCCTCTCTGGCTCCTCTTCTCATGTGGCAAAATGTGCATGGCGTGGCACAGGAAGGGTCTCTCCCAAGGACAGAAGAGACCACCCACCTGACTTCCTTGGGGTCTGCCCATCCTGCCCTCCCCCAGGTTGTGGAACTCTGCCAGGGACAAACAGGCCTTGGCTGTAGCGTTTTTAGTGCTCCATGAGCTCGTGGCAAGTGTCACCTGGGGTGACCATCCAGTGAGAAGGCAGGTGCAGGTGAGGGGGGCCATCCATCCTCTTCAACCTCCCAGGGGAAGGTGGGGGTCTTTGGCATGGCTCTTGGCACTAAGCAGTGGCAGCACAGGCAGGGTAAATTGCCATGTCCTAGTGACTAGGACTAGTCCCTTTAGTGTCCCACCAGTAGCAGATAGTTTGCCCGCCCTGGTTCTCAGCGCTGGGCCCTGCACATGGTAAGCCCCCAGACAGAGCCTGCTGCTGACCTGTCAAGACTGCAGGGCGGGGGTGGGGACAGAGACGCAGGAAGTACCTGGAATGGCGAGTGTCTGGGACGGCGCGGTTGCTGGGGGTCCGCTCGCTCTCCCGCTGGTTGAAAGCGTACAGCTTGTAGGGGTCCTCGCCAACGCGCCACTTTCTCGCATTCAGATACCGCCGCTCATCAAACTGGTCCCACAGGTCGTCCCAGTCGGCATCCGAAGGCTGTGGGACAGGAACGGGAAGTCTGTGAGAAGGGCTCCCTGCTGCACCGGCCCGTCCAGGGACCCACTCCCAGAGACCAGGCTGTGCGGGCAAGGCGTGGCTCCAAGACGGGACAGAGGCAGAACATGAGCAAAGCCCTCTCAGCAACAGTAGACAGAAGGACAGTAACGGCTGCTACCACTCAGTGAGCACCGTGCGGCGCTGTGCACTGGGCGCTGTTCTAGGACCTTGACCACATTGTTCCATGTAGTTCTCAGAGCAGTTCTATGAGATGGACATTGCGCACACTCCCATTGCACAGACGGGAAAAGAGCCTCCGTCGGTAAGTGCCTTGCCCAAGATCCCCCAGTGTGGGAGCGGCAGGGCTAGGACTTGAATTCTAGTATCTTGAGTGCAGGGGACATCTCTCCAGGGCAACTTGAGGACACCTGGCCTACAAGTGCTGGCCCAGTGGCTGGCACAGAGCAGGTACGCAGCGACTGCCATTCTCTCCTCCCACGCTGGAGGGAAGGCAGCAACAGCAAAGAGAGATCCATCTATCACGGCGTGCCACCCCCCAGACACCCTTTCTGTTCCTTTCTCCCTCCTACCCAGGAATCCGATTATTTTTGGAAGCATCAATGGAGGAGTAATAACCCTCACCAAACACGGAGGCAGCACTATAGAATGTGCAAGGTGGTTTCTGTATTCATGATCTCATTTCGTCCTCACCAGACCCTGTGAGATGAGTAGGGAGGATGGGCTTCCAGAAAGATTATGAGGCTACACAGGTGGCAAGTGGCAGAGCTCGCAAAGCAGAGCTCAGTCTCCCAGGCCCTCCTGCAGAAGAGGTGAGGGGATGCTCCCAGCCAGAGCCCAGGCTGCCGGTCCGGGCCTGCCCCACCCACACCAGCTCCACAGCCAACAGACTGTCCACACAGCCAGCAGAAGGTGTGGGCTTCAAGGCCTTGGCAAGCTCAACGCTGGTATTTGGTGGCCATTTCCCAATACACGTTACATGTCCCCAGTATACTCCCAACCCTAGGGAAGAGCCAGTCTGTATCCAAAAGAGCTCACGCCTTTCAGGTTCATCCAAACCATAAGATGCTGGGTCTCTAGGAAGAACACGCTGATCCAGTTCTGACCTGGGACGTGAGGGCCGGGGCTGACATCATCCCTGACAATAAGATGCTCATTCGTGTTTTACTGACTCAAGTGGTTGTGCGAGTGTCTTTAAGCTGCCTGGGTACCAAGGGAGCTGAGCTGAGAGCTGCCCCTGCCATCACTGAGCAGAATGCACTTCCTGCACCCGGGGACCCTGACCGGGACGGCCCAGGGAGGCTCAGCAGACAGCAGTGCAGGCACTGGGCCCACACGGCAGGTAGGAGGGGCCCGCCCGTCTGCACGCTCATCTCAGGCACTGCCGCAAGCTTATCCAGTAATTGATCTCCCTCTCTCTCTGTTATCTCCTTCTGAAACAGCATTCTCTTGCTAATAGCACAAAATGAAGCTTTGGAGACCAGAGATTTTTATCCAATAATTGATTTTATTAATGTCCTGTGATACTGCTGCTACAGAACACGCTAGAGGGAATTTGAGTGGGGCTGTGAAACCCCCAGCTTGTGCCGTGCAATGTCACATCCTGATAGCTGTCACCTCTGGTTGGAACATCACCCCACGGCAACCTTGAAATCCCATCTTCGTGGGAAGGGCCATGGAACTGTCTCCCACTAGCTTGTTTCCACTTTCATTCATTGCAGTTCTCTCAGTAAGTTGTGAGCCTGCCCCGACTCTGAGCCAGGGAGGAGAGAGGTGGGGATGGAGGGCCCCTGCCCTCGAGGGGGCTGCAGTGTCGCAGACAGACAGGTGTGGACATACCTGTAACAGCCCGCAAGGTGAGTTCAATTACATAAACTCAATGACAATGCTGGTCATTGTCACAGAGCAGTGAGGGCAGCTGGGGACAGCTTCTTGGATAAGGTGTCAAATGAGTTAGATCTTGAAGGATGAGGAGGGATCTTAACTTTGCTTGAGGGAAGATAGAGATGGGAAATAAGTGTGTAGTGAAATGCCAGATAGAAGGCAGAATATTAGTCAGGGATGGTTCTCTGGAGAAACAGAACCAATGTAACGTGTGTGTGTGTGTGTGTGTGTGTATGTGTGTGTGTGTGTACACTCATGTGCCACAGGACAACATTTCATCAGTGATGGACTGCATATATGCCACTTGACCCATAAGATTACAAAACTGTGTTTTTACTGTACCTTTTCTATGTTTAGATATGTTTAGATGCACAAATGCTTACCACTGTGTTGTGTGCGACTGTCTGCAGTATTCAGTCCAGGAACCTGCTGTACAGGTGTGTTGCCTGGGAGCACTAGGCCACACCATACAGCCTAGGTGTGCGGAAGACTAGACCATCTGGGTTTGTGTAAGTGCACTCCAAGATATTCCCACAAGGACAGAACCACCTCACTTTTCTATATAAACTTTTATGTATAGTTTATAAAAGTATATAAAAGTTTATATGGAAAGAGATTTATTCTAAGGTACTGGCTCCAATGATTATGGGAGCTGCCAAGTTCCAAGATCTATGCTGGTCCTGACAGAGACCCAGAAAGGGTGAAGTTTCTGTTTGAGTGAGGTGGGAGAAAAACAATGTCCCCACTCAAAGGTAGTCAGGCAGGAGGAATTCCCTCTCAGCTCTTTTGCTCTATTCAGGCCTTCTATGAGTTGGATGGGGCCCCTCACACTGGGGAGGGCACTCTGCTCTACTCAGCTACTAATTCAAGTGTTACCCACATCCAGAAACACCCTCACAGGCAAAACCAAAATAACACCTGACCAAATGTCTGGGCACCCTGTGGCCCAGTCAAGGTGACACATCAAATTAACCATCACAGGCAGGAAGGCCTGGTGGAAGAAACTCTGTGCAGGGAACAGCTAGCTCAGGAGAGCGAGGCTGGAATGTGGATTGCAAAGAGGGCACAAGTGCAAGAAAACTCTAGAATGCAGCTGAGTCTGTATGAAGAAGATCATGGGGAAAACATCTCTGGCCTTGCATGTAGGATGGAGTGGAGGGAAGAGAACTACCACCCAGAGGCCAGCTGGGAAGGGACCACAGTAATCTAACCTGATGGGAAGGGGCTCCCGAGCTGAGGCCCTGCTGGATGCTGAGTGGAGGGGTGGGCACCCATGTTGACACACAAGGGATGGGAGGGGGGATGTCACCAACCTCTCGGCCTCACACCAACCCCCTACTCTCTATTCACACCAAACAGAGGCTCAGGGCCAAGAGGGCACGAGGCTGGTGGTTTGGTCAGCCTGGCCACCACCACCCTACGGGGTGGCCGGGCACTCCTAGCACCCCTGGAAGGGACTACTTTCTTGGAGCACCAAGAATGCAGCTGTGAGAACTCAGCTGCAATTCGGGCCCCTGAGAACCAGAGCAGCAGCCTGGCTGGCAAGGGAAATGCCATGAAAAGTCCATCGAGGGTGTCCTTGGAGAGGACCTCGCCCCTCAGGCTGTCACGTGTATGGAGCTCATTCAGTTTGGTGCACGAGACCCACCGAAGGCAACAGCCGGTACTGGGAGCTCGGCTTTTCTGCAGTGATATCTGAATATCTTAAGGAACGGTGAAGGTGAGTTTAAAATGAGAACACTAACACTTGACTAGTGCTTTACATGTTACAGAGCAGCTTGCACATGTATTGTCATGGAATCCTCCCACAACCCCCCTCTTAGTGGGAGAGGCAGCTTAGAGAGGTCGGGTGGCTTGCCCCAGGTCGCCAGCTGCTAAGTGATGGAAATGCTGACTTAACCCTCCCAAAGAGTCCCCCAGTGCCACAGACAGAAATGAGTGTCTCCTTGGCTGAGGGTCAGCGGGCAGAGGAAGACCCCCTTGAGGACACACACAGAGCCTGTGGCAGGAGGCACGGAGCACACATAGGAACGGCCAGCTGCTCGTCCCTGCTGTCCCGAGGACAGAGGTCCCTGTGGGCTTCCTGGGGCTTCTGAGAGGGCACTGGCTTTGCCGGGCGCTTCCAGTCATATTGGGAGTTGGCTTCTGTGTTCTTCCATCCATGAGTCCCCACATCCAGCTTCCAAAGTGCCTGGAGGACACAGTGTGGGTGTCCTGGCCACCCAACTGCAGCACACAGGCCTCCTCCCTGACTCTGCATGGGGCCGTTCCAGTACCCTGTTACCCCTGTTGTGGATTCCCTGCTTCCTGGCTCTTGTGAACATCCAGCAAAGCTTCTGACACACACTTCCCCCTTCACACACCTGCCTAGCACAGCAGGTGCTCCTCCCCTCAGAACCAAGAAACTCAGGAGCGCCCAAAGGGCTGCACCCCAGAGCTGTGCCCACCCACCCCTGTGGCCCCCAAGCATGCCTCCACGTCACTTTCTGACCAGAATTTATTCTATCTAGAGGAAATGTGTTTCAAAAGATAAATGTGATGCCACAAAACAAAGATATAATCTTATTTTAAGTTATATTTTAATTAAAAAATAATAATTATCTATATTTATGGGGTACAATGTGATGTTTTGTTAAACGTGTACACTGTGGAATGATCAAAGCAGGCTAATTAACACATCCATCTTCCCAAATATTTATCATTTCTTTGTGGAGAGTACATTCAAAATTCTCTTTTAATGATTTTGAAATATACAATATATCATTATTAACTACAGTTATTTTTCTTGTCTAACTGAAACTTTGTGCCCCTTGCCCAACATCCCCTCAGCTGCCCCCGCACCCCCAGTCTCTGGTAACAACCATTCTACTTGCTACTTCTCTGAGTTTGACTATTTCAGATTCCACTCTAGTGAGATCATTATTCAGCCTTAAAGAAGCAGGAAATTCTGTCGTTACGACAGCATGGGTGAACCTAGAGGACATTATGCTTAGTGAAATAAGCCACACACAGAAAGACTGAGACATAATCTTTCAAACGGACCCTGTCTTGTTAAGGCTGCCAAACCCCTGGCCAAGGCTATTGCTTCAATAATCTGG